AAACATTTATGGCTAAATATTTGGGCTGGGCAAAAGTAAAAAATATTAATCGCTTTAATCCCATGAGTTTGAGTGCGATTAATCACGATTAATCTCATGTTATACACAAAACCAATTTGTAGGAGCCATTTTTCTTTCATTTAGGCTGGGGTTAGTTTGGGTCACTGTTTGTCTGGGCACAGGGTGACCTATATTCAGCTTGGCCACAAGGGGGCAGGGTGGAGTCAAGCCCTATATAAATGCACAGGTGCCAGTGCACTGGGTGTGTGGGTGACAGGAGGTCACACGGTTTTTACCGCTCTCTTTACGGCCGGTGGTCTAGTTTTCACTACTCAACTCTGTAATATAATCGAACATCTTTTTATCCATTCTACTTCCTACTCCTTTCTGCTTTATGATCCAATCTGCCAATCGGGTAGCGCGTTAGGCCTGGATCCCCTGCACCCAGAGACGACAAAAGGTTAGGACTAAAATTGTCGTTACACAATTAATGAATTAAAAAGTAGAGTATAGCTGCATTTTTATTGGAAATGTAAATGAAAGAGCCAAACATTTTGTTGTGCAAACAGCATTTCTTTCAGACGAGAACCATCAGAGTCTTCAAGTTATTCTGAAGGCTCAAGAAAAAATATTGAATGAATTTTTGTACTACTAATATATTTTTAAATATTTTTTATTCCGTGAGTAATAAACACGACACTAGTAATAATTTCTAGATCATTGTTATGAAATTGGACTGATATTTCTTGGGGAACAAAGGGTTAATGGAAATGGACCAATCACAGTTTTTCTTCCAGTGGTTTCTGGGTAAATCAGTGACTCCCCCTGCAGCGCTGAACTAAACCAGGACTAAACCAGAACAGAACCAGGACTCACTGTTGGGACGGACTCGGAGGTGACGCAGGAGAAAGGACCGACCCAGAGCTCCGCACCTCATGGAGTTAAACGCAGCCATTGCCCAATCGCACTTTGAGGACACCATGCTCCGTGGGCTTGGGGTTGTCTCTCTTCAGTCTAAGATTAGACCTGGTTTAGACCTGGTTTAGTTCTGGTGTAGTCTTTGTGTAGTGCTGGTTTAGTCCTGACCCGCCAGTATGTAATCACTACCCGCCCGCATACCCCCATTGACTGACAAGGGTTTACAGCCCCAGAGCGCAGGGGGAGGAACACGATGTGCATTCATATACTGTAAAAAATAAATAAATAAATAAAAAATCATGCAAAATTACACTAAAAACAATCCGTGAAACAGTGAGACTGCGAAAGGTGAACCGCGATATAGCCAGGGACAACTGTAAATTCAAAAATAGGTAAACACTAAACATTCTAAACCAATTCAGGACTAACTGGAAAAAAGAAAAATAGGAGGAAAAATAGGAATACAGGCACACACAAGAAGAAGTGCCCAAACATAACTACAGCAGTGTATAGGAGGAGGAGAGAGAGAGAGATACTTTATTGATCCCATGGAAAAGTTCTGTTGTGTCTTGGTCAAAGGCGTCAGTGCAGTAACAGGAGGACTGGTCAGGGAAGGTCAGCAGATCCTGTGGAAGAGCCAAAAGTGTCCCTCCTCTGTGTTCTGAAGCATCACAGCAGTGTCCACGGGGAACACAACAGGAAAGACCTTGTTCTTACTCCGCTCTGGTGCTTTCTGTTTTTTTTTCTGAGTTCAGTTGTGCCTTTAAATGTGCAGTGTTTGATTGTGCTCTCTCTTCAGGTACATCCTGTGTAAGCCTCCTGCAGAGGTCACACAGACAGGTCTGAAGTGCATCTACATGGACTCTGAAGAGAAAACCATGACTTTCAGTACCGTAGACAAAGTCCTGTTCAACACACTCAGGCCTATGCTGGGATCTGTACGAAAAATGGTATTACTGCTTATGTCATGTCAAGTCACTTTATTTCTATAGCACATTTAAAACAACTGTAACATGTTGCATGAAAGTGCTTTACAACAAGAAACACCACATAATCCACCTTTACATGAGAGCTTTAACTCCGATTAAAAATATATTAAAGCAGAACTACCTTAATTAATGTCTTTCAAAGACCCACTAATTGTTCCATATGGCATCTTGGGGTGTTTGAAGGGCACACTGGCGCCCCCACCTGTCTCTGGGCGGAAAAATCAGACATGCAGCTTCATTGCCACTGACCCGGTGGCAGCTCTCAGGGCTCTGTCTCGTTCTAGCGAGAGCCAAAGTGCTTTATGCCACTTCAATATACACACAGGTAACCGAGCTGCGACACTCCCATTACTGACGCTATTCACATTTCACTGCAAGAATAAATATCTCGTGTTTATTTGTGAGGTGTCAGTCATGACACAACCAGCTAAGAGACAGAGGAAGTCTTTGACCGAGGACGCAAGGGAAAGAAAACGAGAATCGAACAGAGCTCGAGCTCTCAGGAGTCAGTTTGGGGAAGGTGTTTGAGGAATAACAGAGCTCAAGAAAGAGAAGGAGCGACACAGAACTGGAGATATTGTTGCTGAACACACAAGTTTCATAACCCAGTGCTCATATCTCTGTTATATTTATGTAACTTGAGTAATTGTTAACTTTACTGCACAGTTATCTTGTTCGTAGATGCTGTTATTAGCATGCTCCATTTTCCATTGTCGTTATGAAGCTGAACCATTAGATTGACTCACGTTGTATAAATCCTTTGATTTGAGCGACTCATGTCTCAGCTGCATGTAGGATGTGTACAGTTTGTGTTGTCAGTGAGCAAAAACAAGTGCGATTTGGAAGTTTAGCCCTGACGTGATATGTGACTATGGCGACGTTTACACAGAAACGAATCACTGTGTCACAGTATCGGAAATGATTTGCGTCCAGACACGTCGTTTCTGTGTCCGCAGGGTTTCCCTATCCACATAACGTTGAGCGTATTTGTTTAAGTTTCACAGAAACAAAAAACCACATGGCTCATTTGCATAAACTAAGTGCTCAAAAAAACAGGTTGCTATTGTGTCGCTGATGTGGTTCAGTTTCTGTCGGACTAAAGGACACGACTCAGTGGAGTGTGAGTGTTCTCTCTGTGGCAGAGGGATGTTCTGCTGAGGGTGAGTTTGTTCTGTGTTTCTATCACAACAAACAACTTTAGCCCAGATGTAAAATCAGCCTGAACTTTAGTAATGCATTTGTGTTGGATCGGCCCGTTTGGAATTTCGAGGAGAATATGATATTATTTATTTAAAGCAGGAGTCTCCAACCTGTAGCTCGGGAGCTGCCAGTAGCTCCACCCCCTTCAGAGCAGCTCCCCAAGGGGTTTCTGAATTCTGTGTATTGTGCTGAAGAACAACTTGCCACTGGAAATGCATCCTTTTCATGCCTAACTTTGTGCACTGATAAATGGAGAATGATTTATGTTTTAGAGGCATCTAGATGTTCCGCATTGAAGACTTGCCAAGACTCTTAAATTGACTTAGTTTCTTTGCGATTGCTAAAATAGGCAGCTCTCTGGCATTTTCTTTTTGTAAAAGTAGCTCACTGGAGGAAAAACGCTGGAGACCCCTGATGTAAAGAGTAAAATAACATTACCCACCTGAGATATTTTGTTGCATACAGTGTTCACCAGCTTTGTGAAAACACATGTGAGCTCAGCTGAGCGGAGTGGGGGGGGGGGGGGGAGAGGATTTACGACAATGCATTTTCACTAACGACCTGTTGGGGGAGCACTACCGCCAAAATTACTTAGTTCTGTTTTAATTTGGAATGAAAATTTATTCCACTTTAAAAATACCATGTAAACACTTAATTCCTAATGATTATTTGGAATTAAACTTAATTTGGAAGTAAGTGGGTGGTTTATTCCTCGATCATATAAACGTTGCAGGCTCATTGGGTTGCCCTTTTGACGTGATGACGCACTGCAAGATGGTGAAAAAAGTTTTTATCATGTTTGTGTTGGGGTCAGCCTGATGTTCCCTGGTACCAGTGTTCCCATACCTCTGTTACCCAGTGCCTGTTTTTCCCGGAGAAGCAGTGGTACCTCCAATTGTGAAAGGTTCCCCATTAACACCGTGGATCGTCCTCATCTCAAGTGATGAGCTCATGAAACAGCAGCATGTAGAACTCTCTACGCAGTTCACCGAACATCTGCCCAGAGCAGGAGCTCTGAGTTTGGGCAATAGCGGTAAAGACACGGGGCCACAGCGTAGCACGCTTGGTCTTGTGCCATCATCCGAGTTCGTTGGTCTGGAGGCTCTGTCCTCCATGTCCTGGTTCTAGACGGGGACGAGCAAGACCAGTGTGCAGTGGACTGGGTCCAAAAGAGAGAAAGCGCTGTGGACTACAGGTCCAGGCAGGCTGCTCCTGTCCTCTGTGCTCCAGGACTGCAGCTGGTTCTGAGGTGGTGCAAAACATCCTCGCAGAAACGTGAATCCTGTTTGGGTGGTTGTATCTTGTTCTGAGCGTCTGTGCTCTTGTTTCTTCCCGGGGAAAGCTTCTTCTCAGGTTAAGGCACCTAACACCACTCCCCGCTCCAGCTCATCTAAACCTGACCTGAACTGGAGCTGCTCCTGCTGTCAGGAGTCTGAGTTTGAGTTTGTATGGGTGTATTCCCACATGTAACAACAAACCAAGATGACAGAAAAGCTGAAGTGTGTGTTTTCTGTCCAATCAGAACCTTCCCCACCCCCAGACGCTGAGTGAAATTAAATAAAGGTGATTTAACGTGTTTTCCATGTAAACCTCAATTCAGAATTATTATTTCCATATAAACTCGAAGGATAATATTTTAATTCCAAACCATTTAATGCTTCACTCTCACAACACGCTGAGCTTCACAGTGCATTGTGGTGCGCATGTCTACTGCTCCTTTCCATTCAGAAAAATCTCCAAATTGTCACACAATCCAGTTTTTTGTAGTTTCTCTGCTTGGCCATATCAATGTGCCTTGAGCCAAGTGTGCGTCACTGCAGATGAAGGTGTGCAGTGACGCACACCTTCATCTGCAGTGACGGGAAACACCCCATAACCTCTTCATTCATAAAACTTCCAAATTCTTATGCATCTGTCCCATGTAGCCGCGCTGCTCAGCTGCACTCACAGTACCAGGCCCTTTACCCACAGTGATGCACCTTCAGCAATCAGATAACATCAACACATTCTAAACATCATTTCAACTCCAAACATTCATTCTCTAACAATGAATGTGGTTGTACAGTTGGCATCGTGCCAAAGATGACAGAAGTCGTTCTGCGTCAGTCATCCCAAACTCCAGAAAATGAGCTGCGTAAAATGGATTCCCAGCCGTCAGCCCTGGGATTGTGCGCTCACCTTATTCCACCAGCAGGATGTGTTTTCTTAGTTGGGCTTAGTTCCAGTGCACTATAGGATTTATAGTAACTCCCCATTCATGTTTAGGTGTCATCAGCAGCACAGGGCACGTCGCCTCTGCTGCTTTTCTTGTACTGACTTCACCTCTGCCATTGCTTTGCTTATACCGTTTTTGCCTGTACTGTTTTGTTTTGCCTGTTGTCTCATGTCTGGCACCATCTCCCGCACGGAGAACAGGCGCCCAACTCTGGCGCAGCTGGTTGTGCGCTAGGAAATATGGGTAACTGTTCTATTATGAACTGAATGAGTCCAGGACTTTTAATGTTGTAGCTATCATTATTGAAAATATGTTTCCTTTGAAAATGTAAAACAAAGACCCTATAAACTATTTAACGTGGCTCTCTTTTGATACTTTTTTTATTTATTTATTTTTATTTTATTTTGCACATATAACATGACAATAAAAAGAAACATACTAGATAAAAAGTAGGTGCCGGAAGAGACAAAAAACCCAATAGGGCGAAATATTAAAGCCTCCACCTCATGAATACATTAAAACTTTTACATTATCATTGTGCATAAAAAATGTAATATATATATATATAAATTATATTTAAACACCATGCATTAAATTCTTTTGATTCAAACATGGATTAAAACACAATAAGAAAATCCACAATTGAAAGATTATCAAACATTAACATGAAATATCAAACATTTCCTCAAACTCCTTTTAAACATCGCCTCTGATCTGCGTCACTGACCTGATGTGAAAACTGAATTTACAGCCTCTGGATCGTAGCAAAACTGAGCTCTTGATGTGACAAATTTTGGAACATGAAAATTATGCATTTGACGAGTTTTGTATCTGTGAATCTCTGCATTAGTTTTAAAATAAGATGTGAAATGTTCAGGGATCGTTGTTGAATTGTAAAGAATTTGATACATAAAAATACAAATTTGATAAATATTAATCTCATAAATATTAAGAATGCTAAGTTTAGTAAATAAATGAGCAGACGATGTTAGTGGCACAGAATGAGTTGCAATTCGAACAAAAGGTTTTTGCACCAATAATATTTTGTTCAGAGTAGAGAAAGTGCAGCCCAGACTCTATTACAATATGACAGGTAGGGATAAATGAAACTATAATATAATGTAAGTATAGAATTTGAGTCCAGAAACTTACAAACTTTTCTTATAATACCAAGAGATTTGTTCATTTTCCTAGTCACCCAGTCAACTGCTCTTTCCAAGATCGATTATCATCGATAATGACGCCCAAACATTTGGTGGATGAGACACGAGTTATTTCAATTAAATCAAGTTTGATTTTAGGGTTAGTTAGAAATGATTTTTTACCACAAAAAATCATATAATTAGTTTTTTTGATATTAAGAGATAATTAATTTAAAGTTAATTTTGAACCATTTGTTATAAGCAGATAAAGCAACATTAGTTTGGTTTGATTTCCCCAAACTACATTTGAAGTGACGTTGTTGCAACTGCATTTCTGTTAATATTCCAAATTGTCAACCCCTTGACTGCCACATGTGTGATCTGCCCACACGTGCTGTGATGAAAGTGTAGGGGAGGTGCCACGTTAACAAGTGCATAAATGTCGTTCATCTTAAACATGCACAAGAAGTGACTATACAACCTCTTGTGCCAGTGGAGGAGCACAAGATGCTGTGTGTAAAAGCTCCACCACCTGCTTCACTGATGTGATCTTGACGTGTTCAGAGCTGTGATGAGTGCAGTGAATGTGCCAGGTTACTGGTACTTGAGTAGTAACTAAGGATGGGCATTCGATGAAATTTTCTTAATCGATCATCGAAAGAATTTAAGATTGATTATCGATTAATCATTAACGTTTTTATATTAAAATGATCATCATTATTATTTCTATCTGCACTAATCTGCATAAATAAATTCAACTTTACGACATATAAACCGTAACGACTCTAGAGCCAATCTGAGATTATAATGTGTTTAATTCAGTTTTGTTCAAATCTCACAGAAACAAAACTTAAAACCACATCACTAATTTGCATAAACTAAGCGAAGATAAAACTACAGCTCTTGTGTCGCTGATGTGGTTCAACTTCTGTCGGATACATTGAGCGACTCTCACCTGGAAAAACTTTTTTCCCACTGGACACAGAAACATATGTGTTTGCTTTATACACTGTGCACATGGACTCACACTTGTCCCAACCAGAACGGAAAGTGTGGAATTTCTTGTACAAATCATCGTTAAATCCACATTTGTGCTTCGGTTCGTTACAGACTGACCCACTGTTTTGTGTCTCGTTCCTTCTGATGCAGAGACACATGTACACACCTGTTTGGTCACATTACACACAACAACATACATTCAGTTTGTCCATTAAAATTAACGTAATTTATGAAATTCTTAATGATCAATTATCGATTAATCGACTAATCATGCCCATCCCTAGTAGTAACTTATAAGTGATGGCTGTAAAAAAAAACTTGGTTTCTTCATGGTCTAATTCATCCATGTGTTAAAGTTTGTATAGAGGATTTTCCAAGGAAGGAGAAATCCAGCGACTGTTTGTCCTTTTTCAAATGTTGCGCATGAGTGAAACCAAACAGCTCCTACGTAGAAACGCCTCCTCCCGCCTCCTCCTTACCTAATAATAATAATTAAATAATTAAAACGAAAAAGAAATAATTAAAACCTAGGGCCGGTTTTAATTATTTCCCCCCAAAATACAAAAAATTAAACCACAACCATTTTTTACCACCAACCTGTGAGCAGAGGAGTCAAGGCTGAAACAAAATAACGGCCTCTGCTTGAGTTTTAAGGCAGATGCATTTGCAAATATTGGTCCCGTATGATATAGATCTGTGCATAATTGATGAATTTGCAATTCTCACAGTTTATGATTCCACCATTTTCAGATGGGGACCTGTATGTGAAGTTGGCCGCTAATTTGGAGAGTGAACTGAAGGCTCAGACCTGGGGCCGTCAGGAGAAGAGAGACGGGAACTTCTGTCACGAGAACTCATTCAGTGTGATTAATGTGGAGAAGATACAATGCAACATAAAGGATCCTGAGCTGAAGTCATGGTCACCCAGTAGTGATCACTCCAAATGGGCCATAACCACTTCTCCCGGCAAAACCTGGACCTGTTTCGGAGACATGAATCGCGCCGAGTCACAGTACCTACGCTGGGGAGGAGCTCTGTGCATCGACAGCAAAGAAGTCCATGCTTTATTTGAAGGGTGTTTGAATCGCAAACGTCCACGCAATTGTTAAATGAGATTTTTTTTTCACATTTTATTATATCATGTTGCATAGAAAAAAGGCTAAAAAAAAGTAGTAATAAAATATAGATTTCAAATGCAACAACTGATCTGTCTTAATTCATTTGACCATTAATTCAGAAATGAAAAGAAACTGCACAAAAGTTATTAATACAATACACTGATTTGCATCACTATTACCTGTCCAGGTGTATCTCCAGTGTTGGGGAGTAACAGATTACATGTACCGGAGTTATGTAATCAGAGTACAAATGATGAGTAACTGTATTCAGTTACAGTTACTGTTTCAGTGAGTAGTAATTGGATTACAGTTACTTTGTTGAAATAAATGGATTACACGGTGGGATTTTCCTTTGGGCTATATATATATATATATATATATATATATATATATATATATATATATATATATATATATATATATATATATATATTTAAAAAAAATGTGTTTCTCACCTTCCACGGTGGTTGGTCTCTCACCCTCATTGAGCTCGGGTCCTCTACCAGAGGCCTGGGAGCTTGACAGTTCTGCGCAGTATCTTTGCTGTTCCCAGTACTGCACTTTTCTGGACTGAGATGTCCGTTGTTTTTCCCGGTATCTGTTGTAGCCACTCTTCCAGTTTGGGGGTTACAGCCCCGAGTGTCCGATCACCACAGGCACCACTGATGCCTTTACTTTCCAGGCTCTCTCTCCAGCTCTTCCTTGAGCCCCTGGTATTTCTCTAGCTTCTCGTGTTCCTTTTTCCTGATATTACCATCGCTTGGTATTGCGATGTCAACCACCACGGCTCTGCTCTGTTTCTTATCCACCACCACTATGTCTGGTTGGTTCGCCATCACCATTCTGTCAGTCTGTATCTGAAAGTCCCACAGGATCTTGGCTCGGTCATTCTCCACAACCTTTGGAGGTGTTTCCCACCTTGATCCTTGATCCTGGGTTTTCAGCCCGTACTCTGCACAGATGTTTCTGTACACTATGCCCGCCACTTGGTTATGTCGCTCCATGTATGCTTTCCCTGCCAGCATCTTACACCTGCAGTTATGTGCTGGACTGTCTCAGGAGCCTCTTTGCAGAGTCTACACCGTGGGTCTTGTCTGGTGTGGTAGATCTGGGCCTCTATTGCTCGAGTGCCCAGGGCCTGCTCCTGAGCAGCCAGGATCAGTGCCTCTGTGTGTCCTTCAGACCAGCCCTCTCAAGCCATTGGTAGGATTTCTTGATATCAGCCACTTCAGTTATGCTCCGGTGGTTTGCCCCATGTAGGGGTTTGTCCTGCCATGATGGTCCCTCCAGCACCTCTTCCTCTGGACCCCACTGTCTGAGACATTATATATATATATATATATATATATATATATATATATATATTATATATATTTTTTTTTTGGTAATTCCACTCTTGCTGGAAACTAAACCAAGGTCTAAACCAGGACTAAATCAGGACTGAAACCAGGTCTAAACTAGATCTAAACCAGGACGAAACTAGAAAAGCACTCAGAGCGCAGACCTCCACCAAGGACTACAGTCCCCCTCATATTAATTGTGTTTTCCATAAATATTTGTCTCGTATCTTTCAATTTGGAATATGAAAGAGGATCCCATTGTCCATCCCTGAGTCAAATTTCATGGGGTTTGGTCAATAATTAACCGAGATATTGAGAAACAGAATTTTTGGCCCCATTTACCACAGTGTTAACTAAAATTTCAAAGTGATCCAGAATCCAGGATTTCTTCCGGATCAGCCCCAAAATGAAATCAGTTCTTCCTTTTCACATTTCCAACAAATCCTGAAAATTTCATCAAAATCGGTCCATAACTTTTTGAGTTATGTTGCTAACAGACAAACAAACAAACAAACAAACAGACAAACGCCGGCAAAAACATAACCTCCTTGGCGGAGGTAATCAGGACTAAAACCAGGTCTAAAACCAGAACTAAAACAGGATTTAACAGGAACAATGTCGTGCAGTTTGTTTGACTTTGTATTAGGTCGATCATTTTGACTTGGTCATTTTGTAAGTAGCTCACATGCTGAAAAAGTGTGAGCACCTCTGTTCTAGACGCTCTGAAAGGATAAAAACGATTCATTTCTTCACTGTTCCTCTGGAAATGACTCATCAGGAGCTCAAACAAGGGAATTAACTAATCATTATCTCTTTTTTCATTTTGGTTTTGGAGACAAATTAAGAAGAAAATAGCTGTTTTTTGTTTTTTTTTTCGCTTTCTTATTTTTGGTTTTCTATTGAAAATCGAATGAACGAACGATACACGGATTTTGTTGGAGCCGTGTTTTGATTTTCTTGCATCTTTATTCAAATACACAAACACACACACGCAGTGACACTAATGTATTCCACGTCTCATATAAGCTCCACGCTGCATTTATCTCATGACAGAAAACCATTAAAGTACAAGCACGTCTCATCTGCATATGTTTACAATGAAGCCCATACGTGCGCATTATAAAGCACTGGTACATTTAGCCCCATGTGAAGTGACGCTAACACACAGGAGCAGAGCACGGACTGTGTTTACCGCCGTCTACAGATCATCTTTGAATTATTCAGCGTTGAGATGTGGAGGCAAAACGGAGGATTCTGAAGCCATTTAAAGACAGTTATTACACTTCTGTGGGGTATTAACTGGAACCAATAACATTTAGACCATGTGAGCTTTTATCAGCGGCGTTCAGTCAGAGCACGAACCAATAAAATCTAAAATCTAAAGTAATTTAGTAGTTTTCAGTTATATCCAAATAATCTTGTTTTCCTTTCACTTCTGTCTGTTTCATGGAGTGTGTTTACATGCACATCAATAACCCGGTTATGATCGGGTTTTTTGAGTATCCCGGTTTCTTCATGGTGCATGTATTTCTCAGTAACCTGTGCATGTATTTCAGTAACCTGGTTATGGCAGTATCCCTTTATTATTAAAAACCGGGTTACCGTAGCTGATTTATTCCGATAGTAACCGGGATATTTGTGGCATGTAAACGCAGTATCCCGGTTACTGCAACATAAAGTTAAGTGCGCATGCGTCCAAAAGACACTTTCCAGTCTTTTCATCACAACAGTAGTGACATAAATAAGATAAGATAAGATAATCCTTTATTTTCTCCCATGGGAGAAATTTGTCTTGGGACAGGGGGTAACATGTTTATCAAAAAACAGGACAACACAACACAAAGCAGCACATAAACAAACACCATAAAACAAAGTAAATATGAGGCCAAGTATGACCACGAGTGATGCACCAACAGGACCCTTAAATTATCCTTAACAGGCAAACCCTTGCATTCTTCTGTTCTATATTAATTATTGCACATTCTCTAAGCCTATGTGCAGTTTTAATTTCACAGTCCCTAAGCCTTTTTATAATAATTTTTTAACTGCACTATCTGAGTTTAGCAGATTAACAGCTAGTGACACAAAAGAATGTTTGAATCTGTTCAGTTTACAGTTTGGGACCCTGAACCTTCTGCCTGATGGCATCATAAATTGACCAACATAAATAAAGTGACCAAACGAGTGAAATGACTGTAAAATTAAGAGCTGCGCTAAACCTGCACACGTACAATCTGCACTCGTGTGACGCTGAAAAGATAAAACATGAACCATCACACGCACAGAACAGACTCACCATCATCAGCACCTCTTCTGTCACAAAAACAACACACAACTCGGTCTATTCAGGGTCTAGTCTGTCTAGTCGGTCTATTCAGGGTCTAGTCTTCGGTCCTATTCAGGGTCTAGTCTCGGTCTAGTCTCGGTCTAGTCTCGGTCTAGTCTCGGTCTAGTCTCAGTCTAGTCTCAGTCTAGTCCTGGTCCAGTTTCTGGTGTAGTCCTCGCAATCTGCTCGGTGATTGTGGTGTATATATTCATGCTCCGTTCATGTTTGTGGTTCTCGTTCTGGTTCTCTGTTTTTTTTTTTCCTGATAATAACGTCGCTGCATCTCTGGATACTTGTCCCTGATTGGTTGACGCGGCGCGTCTGATGCGAAAAAGTTCAGCATTTTCAACTTCTTGACGCCTTGGACGTGCATCTAGACCGCCGACACCAAAACGCTCAAGACGCGCCGCGTCGACGCCAAAGACGCGCCGCAAAAACGCAGGACGCTCTAGTCACGCGTTTACATAGACTTTACATAGAAACTGGAAACTTTGACGCGTTGGTGTGAACGGCCCTTTATGCTAAAGGAGCTCACGGTTTGTGTATTTTCCTGGTTTATGAAATTGATTTGTTAATTTTTGCACTTGCGCATTTGTAAGATTATGTCAAGAAACCGGGATACTCCATTTGATCATGTACACAGTGATATGAGTGTCCAGGTTTCTCAGTGCTCATGTAAACACAGTAACACGAACACTGACAGAAAGGGGATATGGATAATAACCGGGTTATTGATGTGCATGTAAACACACTCATTATCTGTTTTCAGTTTAGTTTTGGAGACAAATAATGAAGAAAACAGGTGTGTTTTCGTTTTCTTATTTCTGGTTTTATTTTGAAAAACAAATGATCGAACGACACACAGATTAGATTAATATTTTTAATCTGTGTTTTCTCAGTGTAAAAATAAAACAAAGTGGTGTCAAAGTCCGAGTATTTGTCTAAGACTTGACCGATATTCGTCTGTATAAAAACATGGAGAGATTTCGTTGTGGATTTTCCGGTGAGTTTCTTCCACAGTCGTCCGTCATAACTCGTCCTGTTTAACATGTCGTCCATCTTAAAGAGCCGGAGCACAACAGACGAGCTCCTGTTTATTTGTGCTGTGGTGCGTTCAGGCGCTAAATGAGAGCGCCGTGATTTCATCTACTCTGAGCTTATCTACACACACACACACAGACGCACAAATACACACACAAACACATCATTAACACAAAACACACACAGGGAAATGAGCAAATAAGAACAAAGAGAGGCTTCGTTTGGTGGAAGTTTAAAGGAACAGTCTGGAAGTTTGGCCATAGGACCTCGTCTCCAGTGTTTGG